ATACACTATTCATATGTTATTCACATATAGTGTATATTAATTTTACCAAAATACGTTGATGATTCAATATATAAGTTTCACAAAAAACAATTTCCCCTCTTTTCTGGCATTATATGGTGTAAACTGATACAGGGACCAACATTAAGAAAGAAAGTATTTTTTGAGACATTGAGGATCAGTATTAATGATTATAATTTATATAAGATTTTTTCCGGGTGGTTTTTTAAATAACTCTGTTTTACACTTATTATGAAATCATTGTTTTTTTTAATTATAATTGCTTAATTTGTCAAAATATGTGATGAAATAAGGTTTTTTCAAAGGTCTATGTAATATATTCATCATGAGCAATAATTTAATAAAAAGTTTGAAAATATATTTTGTTTATAAACATTTGAGTTAATATAAAAATAAATGATCATAATTGATTTAATTATTTGTTGACCATGTTTAAAGTATTGATTGTACTTTCATTGACATTATCTACAGTCAATTCTGTAGATAATGTCAATAATAAAACATTACTGGAAGAAAATGTTAGATATTTCATAAATATAATCCACGATAACTTGAAACCAATTTTAACAAAACTTGAGACAAATAAAAATATATCGACTAATTGTTTGCGATCATTGCATCACACCATCGATGAGGCTTATCGTATGAATTGGTGGGCTATTGAACGTACGTATAATTATATTGATAATATTTATGTTGAAACATGTATGAAAGTTAAATAATTAAATAAACTAACCATGCTAAACATTTGTTGATCAAGTATTTGACTCTTGGGGTCACTTTCCAGTGGGCTTTATGGACGGCACGTTCGGAGCGTTAGGCGATTTTGACCAATGCCTTAGAGTGACCACCGATGACAACACCGACAGTGATCTGCAATTTGTGGGCAAATACTGTAGTCCGCGGTTTGAATTGCCATTTGATGCCGACTTTAGACAATCAAACGACTCGGTCTATAGGGAGGCATTTAATGCCTTCTCTCAGCTTAAAGAGCGTATGATTACTAACGCGTTTTGCATACCATCTCTCTGTACGCCCGCAGACTTGAAATCAATTTTAATTGAAAGTAATTACAAATATTTTTAATTATGATTTTTCAAAACTTTTCAATATTAATACCAGTTTATTATTTCTCAATCAAATAGTTTTCAAACCATTTAACGTGAAAATTCATTTGGAAAATAAAGATTGCTTTCACAACGACGAAGAGAGTCCACCCATGTCTTCATCACAGAAAATACTTTTGTAATTCACATTTAAGTATACTTATAATTGTTTAACATTATTAAATAACATAGACATTAAATAACAGTGCGATATTTAAAATGACAACTAAATTAATTTTTCAATTCAGATCTTTCGTAGTGATTACGAGTGCGTTAGTAATACTGTCCACTATTATGGACTACATATACAACGACGACGACAACCAATTGGGAAGACTATCACTGATTGTCAAATCATTTTCACCGCAAAGAAATTTAAGCGATTTCTTCGCTGATAAACAACAGCCAAAAAGCGATGATTTCGTTGACTTGAGTTACTTTGACTTTTTGAAAGTATTTGTTTTAATTTATGTCATCACAAGTCATATATTATTGAACGGTTTACTCTCGTTTCCGTTAAGCATATGTAAGCGTTTTTAATGTTATATTCATTAAAACATGATCACAAAGATTAACACTAATCATAACATTTATTATTAAAGCTAAACACAGGACAACATTGACATTGGGCGCAGATTTTGCCTCTCAAATCATGATGAATGCGGCCGTTTTTATTGAGCTAGTGTTTTTCATGAGGTGATTAACATTGATATTTGCAACTATATGTGAACAATATGTCCATTTCATTAATAGCGGAACTCTGGCCGCAATATCTGGCCTTAAATACTTTGAGAGCCGACATAAAGTGCCTTTTAGTTTATATATTATCAGTCGAGCGGTTCGGTAAGTATAATATTATTAGTTAAATATTTAAACTATTATTTAATTACTGTATAAATTACTTCTTAAATTTAGTGTCGTTCCCGTATTATTGATAACAATAGCATTTAACATACTATTTGTATACCTGGGCTCCGGACCGACGTTTAAATATTATTACGATGATCAAATTGCCAATTGCGACCGAGCGCTTTGGCAAAATTTATTATTTATTCACAATTGGTATCCCGTGCCGGAACAGGTACAGTACATTTTAACATTAAATCTAGTTAAATAATTACTCATATTAATCGTGTTGTATTAATTGTATGCACACAAAGTGTGCCTATTCAACATGGTTTATATCGGCTGAGATGCAACTGTTTTTACTATCGTATTTCGGGCTCACATTATTGGCAAAGCGCTGTAAATACGGAGTTATTTATTCAGCATTTTTTATAGCCCTGGGAATGATAGTGCCCGGAATTTTGACCGCTTATTACAATATCCCACCGCCTATTATCCGGACAATAAATGAAGGCATGTATGTATTGTACTTTATCATGCTCATTATTATTTATACTATTTTTTAGATTTTATATAGTTATTTTTAAAGAATCTAACTCGTAAGTAATATTGACAAAATAATATAGTTTATAATTTAATAGATTGGACGAAGAACAAAAAGCGCATATATACCATTGTTCAACATATTCCCATTTGACCGAATACTTTATGGGATTATTAACCGGTTATATTATTGTCAAAATTAACAAGATTACTCTAAGCGATGTATGTACTTTTGAAACACAATTCACTATATTTAATATGATAAAAATCACATTAATTAAAAATGCACACATTTATTTTCAAAGTACACGCAAAATATCATATCAATAGTGTTATCGTTGGTATCATTTAGTTGTATTTTCTCCACATATATAATAAATGGTTACAATGTTTACGATTCAATGAAATTATTGATATTTTATTCATCATTTATGCGACCCCTCTATACGATTGGCATTTGTTGGATAACTCTATGTCTCGCCAAAGGAAACAAAGGTTTTAAAACATTTAACAAAATATACAGTATAAGTATTTTATGTATTTCACGTCAGGTCCGGCCAAGATATTTACCATATTTCAATATTTGGGAAACAAGCGCCTAAGTAAATTGTGCTTTGCGGCCACCATGGTCAATATTGAGTTCATTCGCTTTTATATAGTGTCAGGCCGAGTACATATTAATAGGAGTCCCAGTTTGTTTCTGGTATTATTAATATATCAGGCCAATTTTAGTCTAAAATCAAAGCATGATTCAATTTCTATTAAATTATCTTGATTAATTTTATCTCTCTGTTTTCAGCTGGTCAATATAATTGGTTTTACAGTGTTGTCACTTATGGCTGGCTTTATAATCCATATTACGATTGAAAAGCCATACAATAATTTACTTATAAATTATTTGATATCACGTAAAAAAGAAAATACTGACAAGAAAGTAAAATAAAAATGCCCATGGTTATTATTAAAAATTAGCAAAAATATGATACTCTTTAATATATTAATATAATCTAATTGTGTAAAATTTATCATTTGTATTAAATGAATATGTAAATGCAATTTATTAATTTTATATTTTTTGAAACCAATCATTAAATAAATAAACAAGTAAATAAAAGTATCCATTTGGGGGTAAATTGATAGCAAATAATTTTTTATTCAAATTTTCATTTATTTAAAAATTAACATTTATTATTATCTTCGATAATAAATTATTAATTAGATAACAATGTTTTTTAAATAATAAATTACAACTTTTATCACAAAATATTACACAATTATTACAGTATTATTCCACAATTAATGTTTAACTGTATTCAATTCATTTAATTGATTGCTATCCTTAATAAATCCTGAATTTGCATAACTATTTCTATCATTTTCATTGTGACTATTATTGTTATTGACGTCTATTTCCTTACCATTTGATGAAATATCTATTTTCAAAGCAATATTTTGGTCGTATTGTCTTTTCACTGGTTTTTTGCCACCGATTAACAAATCTGTAGTCAATGTCGCAAATGGTTTGGTTATAATGATTGCACACAAAACGGCCAAAATATATGTAATTATAAAGTCGGAGATAGAACTCGATAACTAATTAAACATTCAATAGAAAATGTGTTTTAAAAATTAAATGACATGAGAATTATTGTTAATAATAATTATAAATTTTTAAATATAACTTACCACATAATAATCATTATAAGTAACTTGTTCTCTTAAAGTACCGAGTCTGTACACTATGACAAACATATGTAACTGAAATAAACAAAAAATAATAATAATGGTAAATAAACAGTAAATAATAATAAATGTAAACACCAATATATAAATGATGAAAATACTTACGATATATATTTCAAGCGCCAAATTATTGATTACATTAAATCCCTTCCAACCCATTATTTTATTTATTATTTCTGTAGAGATAAAATATATAAGTTTATTTATTTATTAGAAATTTAGTAAAAATATAAATTGAATCTATTACCGGCTCTACCGGTGGCACAGGCGTAGAAAAGCCAACAAAATCCCGATAAATAAAACACTTTATGAATCAATAGATATAAGTGTTGTTCGTATCCATTAAGTCGTGTATATCTATAACTAAAGTGCATAAAGTCTTTATTCCACCAACAGATCCCAAATGTCATCGAAAATGTGACCAAAGATATGATCGCCTCTCCTATCCGTCCGCCTAAGTATGCCTTCGGGTGCCGACGGATAGCATAACCCATGAGAATACCGATGATATAAGTCTGAAAGTATGGCAGAGATGACCAGTAATGATAAGTCCAGGCGCTTATGTTAGAAGAAGTAGAGTCTGTGGAAAATCCCTCATAAATGTGAGGAATAGAGAGACCGAAGCGCAGAATGAGAGGAATGGATACTCCGATCGCCAATAGGAAGACAT